GACCAAAACGTGGCTAATTTTCAAAAAATTTGAACAGAATTTGCTACTTTTCAAATGTAGCTAAATGAACGTGGCTAAATAAGCCAGTGCCAAGGCAACTGTAGGCCACAACGTGGCTCCGCCACTGCCCGGCGGGTCAACCCGCCAAAACGGGAAGAGTTGGGTTGAGATTTTCAACCCACCAACCCACTTCAACCCGCCCCGCCTAGAAGTGGGTCAAAACGGGTTGACCCGTCGGGTTATATATATATATATATTTTACAATTAAGTAGTATTTCATTTGTCATTAAATTTTTGTGATATCCAATTTTTTTTTACATTAGTACTTCTTAGAAAAAATAAAGAATAACAATTTTATTTATGACAAATGTTATCTTTATATGGAGACGAATGAGTTCCTAAAGAATGTTTTGACAAATATTAGTATACATTTAAGATTGGGATTGAGAAAAATTAAAAGAAGTGTGAAATAAAATAAAATAAAATTAGAAAAATTAATAAAATATAATTTATTTTTAAATTTTAATTATTTATTTTTTTAATTGACGGGTTGGAGGGTTGACCCGCCAACCCACCATAAAACGGGGTGAGTTCATTTTTCCCCCCCATATTTAATGGCGGGTTAACCCGCCCTGTCTCGTTTTTGGCGGGTTGGTGGCGGGGCGGGGCGGGCCAACCAACGTTAAAAGCATGTTTATAGTACTCACATTTAATCAACAACGAAAAACCATTGTTAAAAGTAGGGGGGTGTAAATAGGATGGATAGAGATAGGCTTTAGCTTAAATAGGTCAGACACATGTAAAATAATTTAGGCATGGCCAGATTCGTTAGCTTGTGTACGCCCAAATTATAAATTTAGCATGACGTATATTTAAAAAACAAAAGTCTTGACATAGACTTGTTAGCCTGTTTAAGCCTACAAGACGTTCAATAATTAAAGAAAATAATTAAAATAATATAATTTTATTATTCAAAACCATTAAAATAATAATTTATTTATTTAATTTAAAATGAATAATATATAATAGGTCGGCCTATAAGTTTATAGGCCCTCTATGTAAAAGAAAGTCTATGAGATACTTTCTAAATAATTTTTTTAAGATCCGAAATTGTTCTATAATTTAATTCTTTCATTGAGTAGTTAATAATAATAATTTATTCCCCCCTCCTCTCCTTCTACGGTAGTATAGTATAGGATATAGAATCAGATATATTAATTAGCATTTTAATTAACATTTATTTATTTAGAATTAAGAAATCCCTCCCTCCTCGATGTATGTAAGTGACAAAACAAAGATGGATTGGATATTTGGATTGGATTGGGCCCAAAACAAAACAAAACAAAGATGATGATGCTGAAAATAACACCCGACCCAAGTCCATTCATTGCATTGCTTTTACTCAGTGTAGTGTAGTGTCTGATTGTCAAGTCAAGTGTGGCCCTCTCCAATGCAAATCAATGTAATGTGCTTTGGACACTTGACCACGCGCGCGCTTTTTAGCAGGTAATCTATAATAATTTGATTTCAGCGCAAATATTATAAGTTAAAGTTTTATTATAATTAATTAAAGATGGATTGGATTGGGCCAAAACAAAACTGATCAAAATAACCAACCATTGCTCTCAGTCTCTCTCACCTCTCAATGCATAATCCGAAACATGCAGATGCAGTCTCATCTCAGATCACAAATTTACAATTTACAATTTTCAAAGTTTTTTCATCTAAAATTGGGCGGGATTTAATTTAATAACACTCACTTATTCCTCTCTTTCTTCTCTCTCTCTCTCTCTCTCTCTCTTCTCCACCAAAGAAAAACCCTAAGCCTAGCCCCCTTCTCTTCAATCAAGCTCAGCTCAACTCACAATAACAATACTGTTGAAGATCTTGTTCAACAAGATAAGCTACCAACTACAAGCAGCTCCTCAACTCACAGGAAAGGAACTTTCTTTCGCCTCTGCTTTTATTTCATTTCATTTCTTTTCGTTGGTTCTACCATTTATTTTATGTGTGTTATTGCGTTTTTTTCTTTTTCCTTTTTGTTTCAGCGACCATAAAACATGTATTTTTATTTGTATTTGTAGCTCAGCTTAAAAAAGACACTGAACAGAGGCATTTATCCACTTGATGGCACCCGACTCTGAGCCTCTTGAGTTGAGATTCTTCTCAAAAATCTTCCTTTACTTGCTGCTGAGGATAAGGTAACTTCCAATACCATACCATACCATACCTTTATTTTTTCTTAAATCCTCATTATTAATACTGTACGTCATGTATTTGTTTGTGCTCTATAGTCTATGGTTTATTCATTGTATCTGTATTGTTACTTTTGTTTGTAGTGATAAGTTTTTTATAACTGAATGAATCTTAGAAGCTCAGTTTCAGTTCACTCAGTATTATTACTTTGCCTCTGCTTTTAAAAAGTATATAAGAGGAGCTTAATAGTTGTTTAAGTTTAGTGTGTGATTAATTTAAAGAGAAGAAAATAAATAAAAAAATGGATTTGAACAATTTCTTAATAAGATTGAAGTTTAATTGCCCTGTTTGTGTTACTTTATTTAGGGAATAGGAGAGATGCTAGACTATTGTTCTGTTGATCGAAGATCAGAGTCAGATCATCCTCAGAGCACCTAATGTTGTGATTTGACAAGAGAGCTTCATTGGTTATTAATTGCGCACTTCTTTTTTTTTTTGTTTCCTTGCTTCTCTCCTGAGCTCCTACCTTTCTCTCTCTCTCTCTACGTGTCTCTCTCTTTCACTTTCTCAAAATCTTGGCTTCTTAGGGATTTTTGAAGCTTTTTTTGTTTCCAAAAAATGATAGTGTTATTATATTAAAACTATCTAGCTGTGCTGTGTAGCACTGTATCATTCATTCACCTATTCTGTAGTCTATAATCCTTGTATCTTTCCCCCCAAAGAGAGTCCTTGCTACTAATATCGATGTATTCTCTTGTTTACTCGTACATATATGTTTTCATTGTTTAATTTTAATTTTCACTGGCATCTAGCTTAAACGTAAAAAATGTAATTTAATTGGGCGGGATTTAATTTAATTACACTCACTCATTCCTCTCTTTCTTCTCCCTCTCTCTCTTCTCCACCAAAGAAAAACCCTAAGCCCCCTCTTCTCTTCTCTTCTCACCCTTCAATCAAATCACAAAAATGGTTGGTTACCTTTTCTTTTCGTTATCTTCTCTTCCTTCTAAACAAACGATTCATTGAATCTGACTTGAATGAATGTTCTTCTTCAAGTTTTCTTTCTTTCTTTCAATCAAATCACAAAAATGGTGGTTACCTTTGGCCGATTCTCAGCTCAACTCACAATAACAATACTGTTGAAGATCTTGTTCAACAAGATAAGCTACCAACTACAAGCAGCAGCTCAACTCACAGGAAAGGAACTTTCTTTCGCCTCTGCTTTCATTTCATTTCATTGGTTCTTCCATTTATTTTAAGTGTGTTATTGCGCTTTTTTTCTTTCTTTTTTTTTGTTTCAACGACCATAAAACATGTATTTCTTTTTGTATTTGTAGCTCAGCTCAAAAAAGACACTGAACAGAGGCATTTCTGAGCTAGTCCTCTTGATTGCCCCCGACACTGAGCCTCTTGAGTTGAGATTCCTCTCAATAATCTTCCTTTACTTGCTGCTGAATGCTGATGTAACAGCCCGTTACGTACCGGTATTGTTAACATTAATTATGATATTAAGCGCAGTTACAATCACAGCAGTTCATTTAAAAAAACGAGAATAGATTTTTTCCGACTATACGCGAGCATTTAAATCATAAAAAGCGTAATAATTAAAAGCTGTGACCGTAACCGTAAACTCTTGCGGAAGACTTATTTCAACTATTTTTATAACTTACATCATTTATTATGAGTTACTAAGGAGTTCCCATAAACTCACTTAGCCTATTTCCAACTTTACATTTTTACCAATTCGAACATGTTTCACTCTAAATTTTTCTGAGACCAAACCGATCGCAACCAACCCTTCTTCTCAGATTATATTTTTGTATTACTTAATTCCCTTTTTAACAAGCTAACATACGCTCAATTCGGAGCTCATTTGCTCCGGTTATCGCCGTTTGAAGTTGGATAAGCAATTAGCCCAAACAACCCCAAAAACAGCTCCAAACCACTCACATTGCTCGAATTACTGCACTCAATCCACTCAACCATTTGCTCTCAAATTTTTATCCTACAAACTAGACATCTAAAAATTCATTTTGATATATCACACGCTTAATTTGGCGGAGAAACGAAGCGGGAATTAATTTCCCAAATCCGGTCCAGAATCTGCCTCAGGTGCAGGGGCACATGGGCAGTCCGTGTTTCTCTATTTGTTTCAGGCCGAAGATCAACCCAGAATTTCCTCAAATTTTGACACAAGGTAGAGGACATCTCAACCTTCAAAATGGCGTATGGCACGTCCCTAGGGGACTTCTATGGAGGGAGATATGCTCTCCCGAAGTTCTCCTAAAATCTGCCAATTCTACAGAAAATTCGCCAGAGTTTCCTTTGTTTTTCCAATAATCCCAAATTTGTAAAAGATCATTTAAACCTCAAATGTACCTAATAAACACATGATAATACAGTAATAATCCAATGGGTGGCACACACAAGGACCAACAACGCCTTGGGGCACTTACAACCCAATCCAGTTTATAGTTATTAAACATAGAGTCCATATTAATCATTCTTAAGTAGTTGCAATCACTAACACCTTTTTCATGCATATTTTCATCATACATATTATCATAACCTAAAATAGGCCTAAGGCCCTTCCATCATAATTAGACATGCATCAATACTATTACAATATGGCTTTACAAATTACAACTTGAAACTAAAACTTCAAATTACATTCTTCTAAAATTTCAACTTAATTTAAAAGACAACATAACCAAATACATCACTACTAGACTTAGGCAAAATGGCATGAACAAGATGCTAATGAAGCTACTAATAAATACAAATGACATGTTCATGCCCTAAGTCTAGCCTAGGCCACACGGCCAACAAAATGCAAAATAAGAAACGCTCCATCGCTCACTCTGCGGGCCTCTTGCCCGAGGCTCCTGCTCCACTGCTACCTCCTGAAATAAATGCCCCGAGACGGGGTGAGATATACGAATATATCTCAGTAACCAAGAGGTTCTGGAGAAAACTCCACCCAATGGTTCACTTCGATGCATATCAATAGAATACAACAACCACTTTGAAAACGAGATATAGCAAGGGATTTAGAGAATGGGGAATATAAAGAAAACAAAATACGACGATACGGGATGGTAACCCCAATTCCACGTACGCCCTCGGCATATATAAGCCTATGGGTATCATCCAAGGTGTGTTCACAGAAACCACAACCATGATGCCCAAACCAACCAAAACGCCAAAGACATTCCTAGTGTGCTCCTACCCGGATCACACACCATGACCGCAGTCAACTGGAACTCCCTCCTGGAGACCTATCCAGCGGAAGTCCGAAAATGCCCGAAGGCTAATAAAACTGTCTACTGGCCAGAGACTCGGTACATAAGTACCCATAGCAATAATGCATGCATGCTCATGTGTTATATACTATTCATACACACTTCCTACCGTTACCATCAACTGGCAAGGTGGAACAGAAAAGGGGAACAAGCCCCAGTACCAAGAGGTTACCTTAATTCGTGTTTCCACAAGCTCCGTAGCAGCTTATCCCTCAACTCGGTACACAGCGGAATGCCTACACAGAGGACATTCCCAATCACTCTCAGTTCAACCCATACATGTTAATTTATAATTACACATGCAATGAACCAATTTCTTACCTCAATCCACTTGGTCCCGGACCAAGGGCAATTCACTGATTCAAGATTCGGGATTCAGGTCGATGTACGGCAACCTATACAATAACGTACATCCATCAGTACTCGTCAAATAGTATCAAAACGCAAAAACACAAAAATCCTCCCCATCCTCCCTTGATGGTTCGGCCATTGTAGTGTAAATGTGAGATTTATTTTTCTAAATTTTCTTTCTCATTTTGTTACGTCTCATTAGGTCATCAATAGGCCAGTTCAAGTGCCGGTTCGTCATTTTCGCGTCGAATTACATCAAAACGCGAAAATCGCCAAATCACCCCTTTTCCCCTTGGAGGTTCGGCCATGTAGGTGTAAATTTGAGATTTATTTTCTTAAATTCTCTTTCTCATTTTATAACACTCCCTTAGGTTGTTTATAGGCTAGTTCAATCGTCGTTTTTCCGTTTTTCGACATTTACGCATCGTTTTGCGAAATATTTCATTCTGGGCTCATTTAGGTCTCTAACACAATTCATTTTTTTCCATTGTTTCAAACACTCTCCAAGCACAACACAACCCATCTAAGCACCATATAACTACACAAATCATCATCCAAATCATTTTTCAACATCAATTCCTCAATCTTTCCTCAAAGAATCGAATTTTACCCTATGGCATTCCAAGGAATTTCCATACAACTTTAATCATTCCACACCTCATACAATCCTATTATATCAACATACAATCATACAACAACTCATCAATCCAATCCTAACACATTTTCAAAACTCAAAGTCATGACAACCTCAAAATTTTCTAAGTTAAAAATTCACATTTTTCATCAATAATTTTTATTGCATTTATGGCTACTACACATCATTCTAAGACACATTCATGTACAAACATTTTCCAATTGAGCTCTCTAAACACATCAATCCAACAAGCCCTCTTTAGGGTTCATAAATTCAACCACAAAATTAAACCATTGGAACACAAGGAAACTCACCCAAAAGCTTGACACAAGGCTCCTCCTAAACATACTCCACCATTGGAGCATCAATCAACACCATTTTCACAAATCTAAAGGAAAGGGCCGCAGCTTTGGGGAGGGTTTTTCTCAAAATCTAGTGGCTTTCAAGGCTTGGGAGTACCACCAATGGATTTAGAAGGCCATTTCCATCAAATTTCAAGACAAGAATCAATGGATTTGGTGAAGAAATGGCTAAGTTATGGTGAAATGAAATCTTGGAGGGGAAGGGCTATGGTGGCTGCGGGTTTGAGCAAGAAGAGGGAGGAAAGTGATGCATGAATAGTGCCAAGCACATGTGGCTTAAGTCACTTAAGTGGGGTGGGTCCCACTGCCACCTCACGCGATTTAAAACTAATCCGAATTTTCCTCCGATTCCACTAAACGTCCGTAAATTCACAACCTATTTAGAAACTCAAATTTTTAACATTAACTATTCCCCTTTAAATAGGCTTGATCAGATGAATTAAGAGTCCTCCATTCGTTCGGAGAAAACACTGTTTTAAGCTATTATGCGCGCCATTGGCACGCTTCCCCAAACTGTCTTAATTTCATCGAATATTATAAGAAATCATATTTCCTAACTCATTAGACCATTTTTAACTCATATTTGAAACCTAGAGCTCAAAACGCAATCAGCACATTTTACGGTGCAATCGTACCGCGGTATTTTTACCCGCGAAAAACACTATTCACTGATTTTTCTGAAACTTGCCTGTCCACTCAATTTTTCGTTCTGAACCCATTTCCAGGGTTATTTTTACCATCTGAGACCTTGTACTTAATTTTATCTTCCTAGGGTTGCGTGTTGGCTAATTACCGTTTTGCCCTTTCTTTGTATTTTGGCCTAATCTTTTGGATTTTCACTAATCCATCACTTGATTGCTCACTTAATATTTTAATTACTTTATTTAAAATTGTGAGGTGTTATATTCACCCCAACTTTTTAGAATTTTGTCCGCAAAATTAAATCATACTCACCCGCTAACTCAGGACACAGCCGGAGAATCTCATCATCCCGCTCCCAAGTAGCATCCTCAAGTGTGTATCTTTACCATATTACTTTTATCACAAGCATGATCTCCTTTTTATGATACTCATTATCCTTTGATCCTTCATAATTACTCGTCTCCCATGGTTCTGTGACATTTTAATTCCCAATACTTTAAACTTTCTCTGGTTTACCGTTTCTCTTTCGCTGATTTGTAGGTAATAATATAACCATATTACGGATTTGTCGGTATCAATTTACCTCATTCTCATCTTTATCCATCCTTCTGACCCATGGTCGTTCTCAAAAGCACCTAATCGTTTTCATACTAGGCTCTAACCGTTCTCATGCACATTCACTAGTTATTCCTGGAGTATTTCCAACTCACATGTTCTTTAGTACTTAACTCTTTTCGCTGTCCTCACTGTTTTCACAATACCCCAACAACCATTTCTTTCTATTACTGTTACTACTCTTATCATTTCGTTGTTTTCTTGGCTTTCACCCAAGCACATACTTTCTAGTTTCAAAGGCACTTTGTCGTGTCCTACAATTACGACTCACATTAAATTCTATACTCATATACTTTATTTTTCCTTGTCACGTGTCTTCACCTCTTTTTAGGTACTCACAACTATATCTTTCTCTTTGTGATACGAAACTAGCAATACCCATACTAGTTTATATTTTCGATTAGCCCTATAAGGCCTTTCGACCACAAATATTCATGAAATTTTTCCACCTACAAATTCATATTCATAATTTACACTCATTGTTAAACTCTTTATTAGCCTAACCATCTCGACTTTACCAACTCAACCAGCTCAACTCCATACTTAGACCTCTCACAGTCTAAACACAACACTCATTAATGACCTCCACATGAAGGCCTCATGCTTAATATTTTCTCCCACTAACTATTTTCAGCTTTCATTCCACTCCGGTGTTGCAACTTAACCATTTGTTCCACTTATTTATACTACTTCTTCGTAATCCTCGTCATTTAATCCTGGATGACAAATTCAATATAATATCACCTTACAGTTTTACCAACTTTCACCAAATACCTTGGGACGAATCCTTTTTCAACACCCATTTCCCTATTAACTGAGGGACCACTAAAAATGTCATGTCTCTCACATACAAGTCTCATCCTATAGGAATCTTTGAAACTTCATTATCAAGTCACATAAAACTAAATCCATCCTTGCCACTACTTATACAATTCCCCACCGATTGGTATCTCAATCTCTCAGAATATTCAAAGCTACCACAAACACTCAGTCATACCTCATTAATACTTAACCAAAACAATATTATCATTGTGCATTTTCCACACACTTTCCACCATAAGTGGCATATGCGATTATATATAACACTCCTCAATCCACTCTATCAGTACAACCAAGCTATCAACTTTTAGGCAACCGATCGCAATTCCAGTTTCCAACTATTATTACACATTTGCGCTTGATTCCATGACAATTTAGCTTTTCTAAGGGTTAATAATTCACCGTTTTAACCTGAACTCTTGATCATCACCGGCCTTCTTAGAAGGACACTTACTCCATCTGTCAGCATTAAATCACATTATTATCTCTTTTATCATAAGGCGAGGATTCCAACAAACTTATTACCTCACTTGGAGCCGAAATTATTTCATCGAACTTACTTTACACCCACAATAGTGCTTCACTATCACACTTCTAAATTCTTACACACTATGCCTCACCTCTTATATCCAAATCTGACGTATTTTGTTCATTTACAAACATCTGACCTCATTTTTGCGTTAATCACATGGAAGAACTCTCTCGATACAGTGGGTAACAACATTCACAGGTTTTAACCGCTCGAGCTCTTGCTGTCCTCAGGGCCCCAGATGTAATGACCCACCGATCAGAGAATCCACCCATATGATCCTTGCAGTAATGATAACTACCACCTGCTGACTGTGTTCTAATAGTATTCCCAACGTTTCTTATTTGAGCACTTATGTAGACCAACTCAACTATAATAGCAGTCTCATCACTGCGGGATACTTCCTTATCTCATATCACTCATATAACATAATAATAGTCTCCGGGAACATAATCCACACGGAGATGGCTACACACTCCGGGCACATAGGCCGCACAGAGATGGTAATATCAAGTCTCATAACGTGCACCCAGTGCACAGAGGAGTTCATATTTATATCACATCTGTATACAACAGCAAACGTGTACCCAGTACACAGGGGAGTTCATACTTATAACATATCCGTATATAACGGCAAAACTGGTACTCCGTACACTCCAGATCACAGTGTCTGTCTCACCTCTGTATATATAACAGCAAAATATCTTTGGTATATTCACATGGGGCTATCCCCATAATCATAGCAGTAGTGGTATAATATACCCTGTTACATATAAGTCAATTCGTCTTACTCTCTCATTTCATTCTTCTCACTGATAGTTTACACATAAGTCACTATTATCATAATTCACATTCTCTTCGTAATTTCGTACACGTTTTCTAACTTTTAATAGTTTTTTCTGTCATGTTACCGTTCAAATCCATAGTCCATTATCTCTTCCTTGCTTATTTAGGTATGTTGGCCATCAGGCCATTAGGTATTATTCACAATGCATTACAACATCCACAAGTAACTAGGCCATTTTAAATTACGATATTCATTCTTTGAGATTTCCAAGGGACCTCCATCATGGATCAATCCTCTTATGCTTCGTAACACCTGAATCTCTACATAGTAGCCATTTCCAAGGAGAATTCCACACATTAATGCACACATATAATCATATTTGTTTCCTTCATGGCATATCGGTCAAGCTAGACCATTATTCCGTTACGGACAATCATACTCTCAATGAACCTTGTTCAATGCCATCCATGGCGATTCTCTCAACTTCTTCCTTATACATATAATACATAATTAATTCATCTCGCCTATGTTTAATCAGCACTACCTCCTTATGAGTTTAAATCCCATATTTCAAT